GACGTGTGCTCTTCCGATCTCCCCAAAACCCCAAAACCCCAAAACCCCTGGACACTAAAATAGCAAAGATTTATTTCAAAATTATTAACCAGATAATTTTTGAATTTTAAAATATATTAATGGGAGTTTAAATTGATACATTAGTTCTAGGAGATGGCTAGAATTTTCCCAAGAGAGGAAATACTGTAATTGTCCATTATACAGGAAGACTTGAAGATGGCTCTAAATTTGATTCTTCTAGAGATAGAAATGAACCTTTTGAATTTGTACTGGGAGCAGGCCAGGTTATAAGAGGCTGGGAGGAAGGATTAGCACTAATGTCAAAAGGCTAAGTAGTTAGACTAACATGCACACCTGATTACGCTTATGGACTTCAAGGATTTCCTCCAATTATTCCAGGCAATGCCACTCTTATGTTTGAAGTTGAGCTTATAGATTATAAGTGATATTATTGTATTCAAATCTAATTAAGCTGGGAGTGTATAAAAACTAATGATATTGCTTAATCTTAATTTTTTTATTCAAATGTTTATGCATTTCATCTTAATTGATATTACTAAGTTTATTATGAAATTAAGATAATGTTTGATTCCAAATAATTTAATCATAGCCATCTATAATCAAACTTTCATCTTAGAAATCAGAATCAAATAAAAGGTGGCTTGTAGTCAGCGGATGCAGCATTCTACTCTTATTACTCTTGCTATTTTAATTGTTCTTCTTCATCTCTCTAGTCTTTTTCATTAAATACATTCACTGGTTTGAACTTATTAGGATTTTCAAGATATTGTCTAAAATAGTGATAAAATTTCCTAAGAATAAATAGGTTAAATACTTTTTAATATCGTAAAGAATATAGTTGCTCAGTAATCTAACTATTCCTAACCTAAAATCCTAGTGCTTCTCTTAATCAGTCACTGATCTTTATTTTTCAAATTCCAATCTAAAATGCTTAGCTATATTTTTCTATGCTCGAGGCTAAAAGATAGTTATTGCTTTTATTTTAAATCATTTATTTATATTAATTCTTACATCAGCTGACATCATTCTTGATACTTTCAGACAGTCCCTATACATCTATGATAAAAACTCAGTTAAAAATATTTGAAATGAATAAGATTCCTACTTGAAGAGTTGAGATCTCTACAGCTTTAGTATTCATTTATTTTTATATTTTTTTATTTTATAATATCAAATTACATATAAAGAAGTATACTTGGGGTTTTGGGGTTTTGGGGTTTTGGGG